CCACCAGGCAGGTCACCTGGTCATAGAAGCAGATCAAGTTGGTCAAGCTGATGAGATATAAGGGTAAGGTGAGATATAAGACGAAGATATAAGATAGATGAGATATCAGGAAAAGTGGCAGAGGTTGCCCAGAGAAGCTGTGGCTGGCCCCTCCCTGGGAGTGTTCAAGGCCAGGTTGGGTGGGGCGGGGAGCAACCTGGTCTGGTGGGAGGTGTCCCTGCCTGTGGCAGGGGGGCTGGAACTGGATGGGCTCGCTTCCAACCAAACCATTCTATGATTCTATGTATAAGCTGCCTCTCAAGTTTTACCTTTTTCAAATTATAATGATATAAATACAATTTAATATAGTTAAATACAAATCTGACATGCAAATATAATCACATGGTATATAGAATTGGGTAAAACAGTCATGGAAGTAAATGCAAATTTCATACTAACTCATGAAATTTTGTTTTATAATAAAGAAGGGTTTACTATTGTGATAATCTTTAGAAGGGGTAAATTCCAGTGTTTTCTTTTAATTTTTTTTCAAGAATTACTTTTCCCACACTATTTAACTTTCAAATAAAAGCTTTTTGTTTAATTACTTTTACTTAAAACTTGAGTACCTGCTGAAGAAGGAATAATTTTCTTCAGTGGGGTTGGCTTGTTCAAAGTTTGACAAAACCACACTGGAAAAGCAGGCAAATTGACTTTCATTGATAAGAAAAATTCTAATTGGAGTGCAGAAAACTTGAAAGTCACAATGCTAGATTGTCAAAAGTGATTAGCAGGTAGAGATGCAAAATTATGTTAACCTCCCACTCAATAATGCAAATTGTGTTGTTATTGTTATTGATTATTTTTTAGCTGTTTCTGAAAATAACCAAAGTTTCCACCTGTATTTTCACATTTAAAATTTTTACCTTTTAAAATTTTACAGCACTTCTAGATAACACTTCATTTATTTACCTAATTAAGAGATAAGCTTTATGTTTTATGTTTCTAGCACATTTGCAAGACATTATGTCACAAACAAAAGTAATTTTTAAATGTTGTTTTTGTATATTTTAACTGAGTTGCATTTCTGTTCAAACACAGATTGACAAAATGCTAAGTAAAAACTCACCTAATACATAAATAAAATTTAAAGAACTGGATAGCTTGAGTTAAACCATAATTTGCCAACTCAGCAGCCTCTAAGTGTAACTCTTGCTTCTTTGATCTGATTTTCTTTTTGATAAAAGTTTTAAAGTACCTCCAGTGAAAGATATACTGATTGAGAAAGCATGTGTTATTTGGAAATGTGCTTTCATTTCATGGGGATTTTCTCCTGATTTTTTGAATTTTCTGTTTGGAAAGATAAAGTTCCGTGGATTGTAGTAGACATTATCATTAAAACTCCTACAACCTCTTATCTATTAGAACTTTGTATGTTTTAGGTAAATGTGTAAGTGCTCCCGTAGACAGTTAAAGTTTATGTAACTGTATTGCAAATTCAGTCATACTTTATAGACTGGAATCTTAAAATATTTCTGTAAGTTTAAACGTCTCTTCAGCTTCCTGAGGAGAGGAAGTGGAGAGGGAGGTGCTGAGCTCTTCTTCCTGGGATCCAGAAGGATGCGCGTGAATGATTCAAAGCTGCACCAGGGGAGGTTTAGACTGGACATGAGGAAGCATTTCTTTACCGAGAGGATGGTCAGACACTGGAACAGGCTTCCTAGAGAGGTGGTCGATGCCCCAAGCCTGGCAGTGTTTAAGAGCCATTTGGACAAATCCCTTAATAACATGCTTTAACTTTTGGTCAGCCTTGAAGCAGTCAGGCAGTTCAACTAGATAATCATTGTAGGTCCCTTCCAACTGAAATATTCTATTCTATTCTATTCTATTCATTTTATCCCCTTGATTTTGCTGAACTTACCCTATACACAATCTTACCCATTTTGCTTCATGAACAGCCCTAATCCATCTATACCTGGCCTTTACAGAGCACGTCTGCTGTGATTTTCAACCTGTCCTTTTAGCAGTTCCACGAGGCAAGACATTCCTCTGTATTCACAAGTCTTATATTCCACTATTTCCGTATATACCATCTATGTAATAATCATTTAGATTGTGTTTTCTTACTGCTAGTGCTAAACTATGGATTTCACTCCCACTGGAATACTTGTAAATTACCACAAATTAACATTGGTAGAACAAATATTGCAAGGCTAGAAACTACAGTAAATATTGTGATCATTCGCAGCTATATTCCAAGCTATTTTTATGGCTTGTGAAGCATTATCTCACAGCCACATGAGGTAGATGCTGCAGGTTGGTTCGCATTCAATATGAATTTTTTCTATAAATAAGCACCTTTCTGTAACAATTTCTGATAAATG